AGAGTTTTAGGCAGTCGCGGTCGTCCACTGGAGCAAGTGATCGACGTCCATAGATCACGCTGGTTGGGACATGTGTTACGCATGTCACCAGATAGGTTGCCACGGCAAACGATGTTTGCCAAGGCCGGTAGTGACGCGGTCAAGCTAAGACCTGGCACGAGGGTATGAAAACCCTAACCAGGAGACTAGGTCACACAGGCCCCGTAAGGCTCCCTGGCTGGGGACCTCGGGATGATGGTCACCGATGGTTAGCTACACTAAGCGATATGGCTGGGTGTCGCAAACAGTGGCGCTCGTGCATTTACTCGTTATTTTTCTAACACCACTCTATATGTATTCCCCATCTTCTGCTTGAATTTGCTTCGAAATTCCAATCTTCATTTCGCTCTTTTATCCAAATGGGCAACCAAAACCGGCGCATGAAAGTGCATGGTAAATGGTTGCAAAAACTGAACTGATTCATAACTTCATTCCAAACCATGATATACTTATCATTACACATTATTATGTAACAAACAGCACAAAGAGTGAAACTCGTCGTCACCAGAGCATATTGTTCTTTCATGATGACCAGCAATCTAAGTCCTCAAATTCAAAACGGCGAACCACTTAAAATCGTAATAGAATACGTGTGGTTTTAGACTGGACAACGGGTTAGCAGTGCATCATCAAATATGGGTGTCAGTGACAAGGCTAAAACCTCAGACCAAGAACCCAGCAGTAATAGTGAATTAAACCACATGACTGCCAACACTTTCAACTCTAACAGTGGTCAATACCACACACTGAAGAGGCCTGTTAGGTGACATGCGTAATACATCCCAAAACGCCGAAGTCTACGGAATTCATAGTCTTCATCTACACTTCGAACTCGGTGCCATCAAGATCCTAGATACTAGCACAGATGGCTGAGAAATCTAAGAAATAGAATATGAGTGCCTAATGCTTTACCTGTTGGAACGTTTAGACAAACATCAGGCAGATTCGCGCAGAATGAACAGTATTTCTCTCTCTGGATACAATAATCGGAAGGGAAAATAACTGTTCCATTGCCAAAAGCCATAAGAACTCGTTGAAACAAATTGAATACTCACCTGTGCTTGGGCCAACTCCTTCGAATATCGTCACGTTGTAGGCGTGAACTATAACACATCAAACAAAAGAACAAATTATTTTTTTATACGGATAAAAAATATAAAGGAACAAAAAATAAACACATTTAAACAGGCTCAGCAATGAAGCACCTCAGGCGGCAAATGCTTCAAAAAAAAACTCATGCACATCTTTGAAATACCAACATTGGACGAATCAGTGTTTTTCAATCACTCCCTAGATTGGCTTGCCGATGAACCTTAACTGGAGAAGGACCAACACACGCATGCAGGTTTTCGGAAAGAATTTGATGTAATACAAGTTTAATCAGAAAAAAGGAGAGTGTATTTGGATTGTAAAATCAAACCTTTCAGTAAGCATCGGGCAAATTTTGTAAAAGATTAAATGCGGAGGACAGTGAACGGTAGACAGACGTCGTTCGATTAAAGCATGCGCAATCCTGAAGATACAGGGCAAAAAGCAGTGTCATTGGAAGCAAAAAGTGAAAGAGAACGTGGGCCAACGCTTGTACGACAAAAATTAATCCGCGCAAATTTGGTCACAATTAAACGCATGCTGAACTAAGAATTCACCGTGCATCTTTTATTCTTACCCCCTGCGCCGCGCAGTCGGTGGACTTTTCAACAAACAAAACAAAACAAAGATTTAACCACACTATTTATGCAAAATCCTGAAATAAGTTAGGATTTTGAAGAAACAATAGTAACCATGTTAGCAACCTACAAAGGAAAACCCCTCTTTCAATTTCTCGATTGGCTCTCTCCATAAATATATATCTTTATATAATGAAACTTTGTATGATTTTCTATCAAATGCGACACAACCCGGGCCGAATTAAATGAATTTTACTGGGGAATTCACAACGGGAACCGTTTACTAGCCAAAGCTTGATGAGTAAGATGGTGAGTTTGTGTGCAAAAATCGCAATCCATTGGGGCCGGTTTCCAATTCAGTGGATCATGCGCCCTTTGGACGGGGTCAGATGTCCAGTGTCCAACACACCACCATGAGCAATCGAACCGGTGATCACTGTCACATTCAATAAGGTTTGGTTGAGTTTGGTTCGTTCGTCTCTCCTCCGCTGGTTTGGAATCAGGGTTTTAGCCAAATCCCTTAGGTGAACTGCCAGTGGTTCACCATTCCGGCTATAGTGCCGGATCTTGGTTTTTCGCCTCACGTCAATGGGAAAGCATCGCCACTGGAAGCTAGTAAGTAAGGCTTTCATAGCAGAAGCTATTTAAAAAATTTAGAGGAGCATTTCAAGAGTCCCAAGCGAACGGTGACCAGCCACAGCCGCTACATGGGTAGGAAAGGATTCGAGGCGCTACGTTCGATAACAGCCATCAACCCACGATACCTGTCATCGCACATTCGGATAACATACAACAATTGTGTTAGTATGCTTTCTAGATATATTTTGAGGATGAAGAAGAAACAAATCAGTACCTCCGCATATAGCGAAGTATTTCTAAAGCCTTACAAATGCCATGGTATGCAGACTAATACCAACGTGACAATAACGTGTATTTAATTTCGATGAAGATCCAATGAAATCCGCTCAGAACAAAAACGTATTACACACCTGTGACGAGTCTCAACCGAGACGAAACAGTAGTCTAGCTCCTTTGTTGAACCCCACGATATATATATATATACGACTGAACACAATGTCCCAAATATTTATACCAGGCAACTCAATGTAAATTCATGGTGAAACGTCGGACGTGACATAAGCAACATAAGCCTCATGCGCACCTCCAGGAGTTATGTCGAAACAAGCCAACATTAAACAATCATTAAAATCAATCAGCATTGTTGAATTAGATACATCTAGCCTTAGCGAACTGAACTTTAGGGCCAATTTTCGGTGATTTCTTTATTGACACAACTGCTTCCTGTAATGAACCCGAAGGGCAGATAATGTAAATTTACGCTGCACTATTTTATAAACAAAAATTCAAGAATGATAGATTATATATGTATACACAGAGAGAGAAATAATAAATTAAGGAACTGTATGCATCAAATCAATAAACGAAAAGTCTATTGACAAGAATATAATACTAGTACGTAAAGATGAGTCACATACCTTTGTACACCGTCCACACTTAACGCAGAATCGTTGTCACAATCATATATACTGGGTTCATGAGTGTGGACACCGCTATCATCCGTCTAAAAAGGTAAACAAATAGGTATAAAAGAACGCCAACGAATAGAAACTGATAACAAGTAAACATATTTGAAGTTAAGCTGCAGTTCGAATCATAGAACTAATTATAGAAATTCGGGGACGTCATGACTAATCAAATCTATTTTTTAAGATAACGCATGCAATGAACACAAAAAAATTGCAAAAGGTGTACGGTGAAACACAAAAAATTCTTTTTATCTTGTATTTTCCCATGTTTAACTGTTTCACCCCCTTTTCACTATGTTCTGCACCCCAATCCACCTATCCCGTTTTTTTTGTTATTGTTGTTGCGTTGGTATCATGCTTGTCTTTAAGCCGGTGGTATATATATATATGCATTGTCTGAGCACCGACCGTGCATCTTCTTCCCTTCTACAAACAGTCCGAACTCAGACGCGTTTGAAATGTTAAATGATGATAACAAAACTGGCTGTTTTTGGTCTGTTTATCATGATATTCGTCTACGATTCGTAAAATTTAAATGGGTTTATCCTTAGTTCATCCACCAAATGGGTAACCATACAGACGTTTTTTGACTGACAGTTCCACAACGGCAGTTTCCTCTTAGTTTCTTCTCACCTCCCTGAAGTTTCCGTAAGTTACGTTTCCCGAACGTAACCACTGAAGCACGGAAAAGAATTATCTTTGATAAAATCTGCTGTTTCAGGTAAAAGGACAGGTTCAGCTACCCACTAATCCTGTGAACTTGAGGACTATCAGGACATAGCTACAAAGCCAAAGAACAGTTGACAGAACCAATGGCGTTGAGATATCCACTTGCAAATAAACCCGTTGATTACATCGAATTACTACAATAAATAGGCAGGGATAAAACATCTTCCTTCTCCATAGTTCACAGTTGCGTGCACAGTCGAAAGTCGACTTGTCTTTTAGACAGCAATCGAAACTGCAGCATGAAAATGCATGGTTAATGGGTGTAAAAACTGAAACTGATCCCTCAAAGAAACCTAATTATTAGTAACTGCACCTTTTTACCATTATCATGCTTTCAATGAACTCGAGTAAACTGTTCCCTACAATGAGCTCTGTATTGCACGTTTTCCCGGCTGTGATTAAATTTTCCCTTAGGTTTCCGCTTTCTCCGCCAAATCTCTAACCTAAGCCAACGGCAACTCATTTTCAACATTTCAGACTTGTCAGAATGTATTTTTGATCAACCCGAACAGTGTTTTTACACTGCATCTAACGAAACACGGAAGAGAAGTCATGAGGAACCAGGAATAGAAGGTACAAACCAACATCAGAAACTTTACCCCACTAGAACCGAAAGACGGCAACCGAAACTCGAAGACACGTATTAGTTAAGTGAAAAAAGAAACTGAAACTTGTTATTGCTAACCATCATTATCAGTTTTGCTACTAGAGTAGTTTGTTTTATGACTAATCACGAGACTCAAAAATCCTAGGGCAACGTATTTTATCAAGAAAAATTATACGCTCAATAGAGGTATTCAATGTACATTGCTTCAAGTCTGATGAGCAGATCTGTTTATTACCCGAGTCAGTTTGCTTGTACTATATGCCCTTATACCTGGACTAAACAAAACTATTTCGTTATAGACTATTAACTGATTGTAGATTCATACAATAACTTTTCCATGGTTTATATAATTATATATATATGGTTATATATATCATAGAAAAGTTAGATATATATATATCTATATACCACCGCTTTGTAAACATGCTGAACGGTTAGGACTGCGAAACGACGGTTCAAGTTAAACCCAAAAAGTTATTTCATAAACCCAATACTACTGGCGCCTTTTATTCGACAAAAACGACATACCTAATCCAGCAGTAACGATAATCTGAACATAAAAAAATAAACAGAACTGACCTTATTTTCGATT